TCTTGGTTGATGCGGGTAAAACGCTGTTTTCAAAATGATGCGTTGGCTACCATACATTAACAGTTATATGTTGTATATGCATTCAAAGTGTTATTTTAAATTGTTACAACCACCCGAGTCCACCTGACATAGAGCAATTTCCGTAACAACACCCAAGTGTTAAGTAACCCCAGGTATTAATGAACTTGTCGTTAGGGGGAAGGCTCAAAGTAAACTTTCTTAGCATTGGACACACTGCAGTTTCGCGACAGTTTTGAGCCAAACTAAAAGTTGTTTTTACATTACTGGTATATTTTATATCAAATTCAGATTTTATACCAAGGTGGGAGATAACGTCCTGGGATACACGAATGAAAAACTTGATTAATACGGTTTGATAGACTTTGTCAAATCAAAAAGTGCCTTCCTTGAGCAAATCACTTTTTCAACTGCAGTTTGAAAATGACAAGGGTTTGACCGTGACTATGTATAGTTCATTTTTGGCTCAACGGACCATAGGTCCTGCGTCTGTAGTCTGTCTATCTGTCTTGTCTGTGCACGACTTTTCAAAAAACGCCGAACCATTTGACTCTATTTTTGGTGTGTGGATGCCTTGAGTGTAGATGGTAATTTGTTCATGAGAAGTCGATCTGCCAAAAATGCAAATTAGCCCCCCAAAACTCTACTGTGGCGGTCTATAGTGAGAGCGCCATCTATAGTATGGTGTTGGAATAACTTTGTTTATGAACAAGTCTGGGTCAGTCAGTCGAATTGTTTCAGTCTGTGTGGGCAGGTCGATTCTCCTGTTTAATCGACTGAATATCCTTCCAAAGACTGAACTAAAGTGGTTATGGATGTTGTGGAACTCTTGGGACAGACAAAATCTTGTTTGGGCCTAAAAAAAAAAGGTGCGTTTCAGGTAACAGGCTAAAAAAGAACAGGTAGGGTAGGTCGGATTTTTTTTTTATTTTTATTTTTTTTTTTGCATTCAAACAATTTAAAAAAATATAATTAGCATTAATATATCTGGGTCCTTATTCAATACCCAAATATTAATTGAATTTATATTTTGAGGTGATGAATCTTTATATTGGTCAAAATTGCTCACATGGTCAACTGATATTAGTTTCAAATTACTGACACCACCAAGATGTCAAGTATCATACTCAATGGATGTTGTTGATCTCAGACTTTAAAAACAGCCATTGAGGACAATTGTTGATATCTGGTTCAACTGAGGCAAACTGAATAGAATGTGAAAAAAGACAAGTTTCAAAGATGTTCAAATGTTCAAGTTTTATTCAAGTTTCCATGTTCATTTATTTTCCATAGGGTCTCATGCAGCATGGGAGGTACCCTTCACTTGTACATGCTGCACAAATTGGAAAGACAGTCTTAAAGTTTTTTTTTCAGATTCTGGTCAACTTCTCATTCGTTTCCACCACAGTAGAAGCAGGTGTTTGGTATTGCAATGTTGGAGCTATAGAAGGCCACCTCCATCGGGCTTTGGCAATTTATAGTCAGTCGTACAACAGCTGTGCCATGTAGAGAATGACCAGGAGGTGTTGCATGGCTACCACAAGTATAGTCAAATTCAGAAACCAGCATGGCAAACAGTTTTTTGTCTCTCTGACAACTTTCTTGTGGAGTACACCAACCGCTGTTGGCGACACTGAACACACTCAAGCAAAAGTCTAGCAATTTGACCAGTAAGAGATATTCTTGAAACTGACTCTGTGGCTTCACCATCAGTGATTGTTGCATGTTCATTGCAGTAGCAGTGGCTTGGACAATGTGTTTTGCTGGAGTTTTGGCAGATGTTTTGTACTTTCTTGTGATCGATTTCTCCATGACCTTAGCTGCATCTTTGAAAGATGGCCTGTCAGCTTCACTGGTTTCTTGGCCTAATACTGCATGCAGTGGTTTGTAATGTTATTTTGTGTCATCCAAAGTTGGGGCTGGCAAGAAGGCTTGTTTACTGACAGACCTTAACGGCTGACAACATTCTGGATTTTCACTTTCTGATCTGAAAACAATAGGTGTGTTGGATACAGTGTGCCGCAAGCCAGTAATTGTAGGCAGGGACATTTCTTGTATGAGTCTTCACCAGCTTGTTAAAGGCCCAGTAGCTGTAATGAAAACATCTCTAACGGCGTTCTAAATAACTGTTTTGGGTTGAAAACTTGTTGCATTTATCTTTGAAATTGCTTATCTCCTGTTATAATAAAATGTACATTGATCTCTGTGCGGATACGAATGTGG